TGGGTAGTGATTTCCGACACGTTACTCTATAAGCACGGAGCAGTACGGAGAATTAGGGAGAACGTAAGGGAGAGTATAATAAGGAGTGTAAGGAAGAGTAGAAGGGAGAGGTGTAAGGGAGATTGTGTAGATTCATTTGGCCCGCCGTAAAGGCTCTTTAGGTTGGACAAAGGACGAAACAAACAAACGGGACGCACCTAGAACTAACTAGCAAGGTTGGATGGCCTGGCTTCTTAGTTAGATAACTAGCAGGATATAGCGGTCTACCCGCTGAATGTGCTTTCAACACACTTGCCATAATGCATTATTACTTTGTAATGAAGATGTCTCTAGGTTGGGTCAAACAAAAGCAGGCCCATGGTCAGTTACCCCTCTTATGCGCAGGATACCGGCTATCAGCTTGCGATAAAGGAAGAAATGGTGTTGGTGGATGACATTACAAAGATGAACTATGCAAGCTACCTAGGTAGCTAGTTACCGCTAGAGCCCTTTGACGGAACTAGACACATGCCTTCCTGGACTTTAAGCCACAGGTTAACTGTTAGTTATCAGCTCATTGACAAAGGAACATTGGCATGGCAGGAATAGTTAGGTATGTTGCAAAGAAGCGGTTTACTCCCGCTAAACCCTTGTCCTGAATGACGGAAGGTCGGATCAGAGATGAGATAACTAATTGCAGTTGCTCCCAACTAGTTAACTAGTTACATTGGTGCTGGAGGCTTATATAGAGCTACTCTCAACCTGGTTTATCGACTTCATTTCCAACCAGAAAATAAAGTCATCTCACACATCCATCTGATTATCAACTTCAGTATACCTAGGTACCTAACCTAGGTACCGCTACGCAACGATGCTCCTTGGTGCTGCGGTAGTCGCGGCTGTTTTCTCAGCCATCTTTATCGGCATCGGATCTTGTACCGATATGGTAGGGACATGGATCAACTATCAGAACGGAACATATCGTTTTGATAGGAACGGAAGCAGCACCGGTGTCCGCTATACGGACGATAATAACAGCAACATCCGTGAAAGCGCCGAGCACAACTCCACGATGGCCACGACACAAAGCGTTCAAGACCTGAGAACAAGACTCGCCGCCCTGGAGAGAGGAGACTCGGCTCGCAACGTGGGTCAAAACGCGGCGGCTCGCAATGAAAGCTCAACCGCTACGATATCCATGAACTGTGTCACAACTCAAATTTTCTTGACTTCGAATTCAAGTCAAACAACCACCAGTGGTGCCTCTGAAGGCCAAGTAACCTCCATGGATGGACAAGTGGAAGAAGTAGGTATATGTCTTGATGATTTGAGCTCAGGCTGTCCATCAGCTAACCTTCTGCAGATCCCTTAACTAGGTACCTACCTAGGGACTTACGCTGAGAACGTCCGTGATTTCCGAGCGAAGTGGCATTTGGTGCCTTGAGTAACTAAATGGTGGATTGAAAGGATAGATGGAATTGAAGCCTAGAAATCATCATGTGACTGGGTGTCTGGGCAGAAGGTCCACCCAGGCAGTTCAAAGCAAGGGAAAAGAGAAGTACGAGGTACATGGAACGCCATCCGCCATACTATGGAGTTTGAGGTGCAAGGTACTTGCTCCCCGTATTTATGCGAGTCCCTTGCTTGTTCTTGTACCCCGTATAATTAGTGGGTCTAGTTACGCAGATAGTTAAACAGCAGCGGAGAGAGAGAGAGAATCGCCCTGAGGCCATGAGCCAGTACCAGGACAAGCCGATACCGTAGGTAACTAGGTAGTTAACTACAGAAATCAGCAGCCAGACCGACCACGATGGCCCGTCCGGCAGACGACGATGACCTGCACAAGCTGAACCAGGATGCGCGGGAAGCCGAAGCGCGGCTCGCAACGCAGAAGGAGCATGAGATGGGCGTCCTCGAGGCAGTCAAACTATACCCAAAGGCCACCGCTTGGTCGCTACTTTTCTGCATGGGCGTCATCATGAACGGGTTTGATGCGCAGGTGATAGGGAATATGTTTCCCGTGGCCAGGTTCCAGCGGGATTTCGGGTATCAGTTCGAGGGGAAGTGGAATATATCCGCTGCCTGGCAGTCTGGCCTGAGGTGAGTTGGTGCCGGCGAGACGATGGGACGGACATGCGGTTAACGTGGTGGAACAGCATGGGCAGTCCCATCGGACAGGTTGTGGGTGCACTGCTTGTCAGCTATCCCATGGAGTGGTTCGGTAGGAAGCCGACTTTTCTCGTACGTACGGGCCCTGATAACTACTGCATGTTCATGGCAGAGACTACGGATAACTCATCTCTCCTATCCTACAGGTCTGTGTGGTCATGACGGCTGGCTTTATCTTCATCCAGTTCTTTGCCCGGTCACTCGAGGTCCTGATTGTTGGCCAGTTACTCGGCGGCATCGTCTTGGGTACATATACGGTCATCGCGCCTACTTATGCCTCCGAGGTCTGTCCTGTGGCTCTGCGCGGCATCCTGACATCCTACGTCAACCTATGCTTTGTTATCGGCCAGTTCCTTGCCAACGGCATCTCTGCCGGTACACACAACCTGGATTCGCACTGGGCTTATAGCCTGCCATTCGCTCTACAGTGGGTTTGGCCCGCTATCATATTGTGTACGGTTCCCTTCGCCCCTGAGAGCCCCTGGTGGTTAGTGAGGAAAGATAGGATGGAGGATGCAAAGAAGTCACTGCGTCGTCTTGCTTCGTCGGAAGTTGACGTCAAACCCGCTCTTGTAGGTAGACTCCCGAGAGGCCTCAGGCCCATGAGCATGAGCCTCGTTGCTAAGTCTCTTTTTCCCCCTTTCTCTCTTCCCTTTTAATCTAGGCTATGATCATCGAAACGGACAGATTGGAGCAGCACATGGCTGCCGGTACTACCCTTCTAGACTGCTTCAAGAGCGTGAACGCCAGACGCACCGAGATCGCCGTGGGAGTTTACGCCATTCAAGTCCTCAGTGGGATATATCTCGTTGGCTACTCAAACTACTTCTTTACCCGTACTACTTTACCTATTTACCGTACCTCCATACTCCAGCATATTCGATGAGACGCTAACTCCCACATAGTCGCCGGGCTTAGTACTGACGATGCGTTCAACATGGGGGTAAGTCCCATCCCCCTTCTTCCGGCAACGAGCGCTATTCTCAACATAGTTAACAAATACTCAATAGCTCGGATTTCTCGGCGTTGGATTCCTCGGTACTGTTCTCTCCTGGTTCGAGCTCGCATACTTTGGCCGTCGTACCATCTACCGCAACGGCCTAGCGATGCTCGCCATCCTCCAGTTCATCATCGGCATACTCGACTGTGTTCCGAACTACGAAAAACGCCCTACCGTCATCTGGGCCCAGGCGTCGATGATGGTGGTCTGGAACTTTGCTTACAGTCTGTCCGTTGGGCCCGTGTGTTTCGTTATCCTGTGCGAGTGTTCCGCGACAAAGGTCCGGTCGAAGACCATTGCGTTGGCTACTGCTGTGCAGGCCATGCTAGGTATTGTCATGACCGTCGCTATTCCGTACATGATCAACCCAGACGCAGCGAACTGGCGTGGAAAACTTGGCTTTTTCTTCGGGGTATGTATCGGCGTCCACTTATGTTTCAACAGAGGTTGGTATTATATTGGTTGGTGCTGAATGGGTTATGCTGCTTCTAGGGCCTTGCTACGATATGTTTCGTCTGGACGTTTTTTAGAGTCCCTGAGACAAAGGGTAGGACGTATGAAGAGCTCGATATCATGTTTGAGAGAGACGTGCCTACTCGGAAGTTCAAGGGTTACAGGATTGATTAACTATCACTCCGTAGAGACGTGTCCATGTCCATGTCCGTGTTGGTGACTATTAAAGTAACTAATGATATTAACTAATGCTAATGATGGCTCTATTGTTAAAACAAGGCGCCGAACAAAAGAAAGGATCATGGATGTAAGAGCAGTGAGAGACATTAAATGCCTCTGCCAGCCTGAACCCGCCGTGCTCATATCAGGCGGGTTAAGCGGATTTGGGCGGGTTCAGGCTGGCAGAAGCTGAGACTGGTAAGGGTGTAACTAAAAGCACAAAAGTAACAAAAGGCATGGGGTATAAAATCATGGAAGTAAAAGGAGAAAGGGGGCTTGGATGAGTGTGAATATGAGGCAAGGATGATAATCCCCGTTTCTAGTTCCCGTTGGTCTTGGCTCCCGCAACCTTCTGGGAGTTGACCGACTGCTGCTTCTCCAGTGGTGGCATCTGGACCATCCAGTTTGGTGGTGCGATGCCGGTTTGTTCGTGGATGGTTGAGAAGAGCGGAGGCATGGACTGCATGATATTGCGGAGTGGTGCAGTTGCGTCCGCCGCACTGGAGTTTCCGTCTGCATTTCCGGTGTTCCAGACGGAGATCTTGGGCTGGAGACCCTGGATGGCTTGGCCGTTGGCTTTGGCGAGTTTCTCGTAGGTGCCGCTCTGGATCATCATGTACTGGAGGAGGCCCTGTGGTCCTCCGAGAACTTCGGCCATGGCGCCGTAGCCCTTTGCCATTTCCGTCATGGCTTCGGCTTCTTTCTGCTTGGCGTAGAATGCAGCTTCGGCTTCCTTGGTCTGGCGGTAGTCTATCAGGCTATTAGTATGGTATCACATAGAGAGGGGAAAAAAGGGGTATGGGACTGCTTACAGGTTGCGTCGGCTTCCATCTTGTAGCGGTACATGCTGGCATCTGCTTCCTTGGTGCGGCTGAAGTAGGTGGCTTCAGCGGTCTGTTCGGCAGCTTCTCTGGCGGCCTTGCTCTTGGTGACGTCGAGGGCTCGAAGTCTCTCAAGCTCGGTCTCTGCACGCTTGGTCTCAACGTGCTTCTGCAGCTCGGAATCCTTTGCTTCGGCCTGACGCTTAGCCTGGATTCTCGCAAGCTCGATGCCCATGTTAAGCTCTGTCTGGCGGTTGGTGAGCTGGGCATCGGCCTGGAGCTTGTCGCTTCGACGCTTGGTCTCGAGGACGGCCGTCTCAGCATCGATTCTGGAGATTTCCTGCTTGGTCTTTCCTCGCTTCTCTGCTTCTCCGATTTCACCTCTCATGCGAGCTTCGGCGACCTCGACCTTGGACTGGTTAAGGGCGCCTTCGTGGGCCTTGCGGCTGAGATAGGTGAAGTACTCGCTTCCGGGAGCATCCTGGAGCTCCTTGACGTTGGCATTGTAGCTGCTACCTGTTAGATTCTTCTCCTTTCTTCTTCTTCTTTTTTGGGTATGTCACTTACATTCTGAGACCGAACTGGTCGAGTTCCTTCTGGACGTTGTCGATGACATGCTGCTTGAAGAGCTGGCGCTCCTTGAAGATCTCTTCCATGGTCATGCCAGAGACGATGACTCGGGTCTCACCCTCGATGATGCCCTTGACGATATCCTGCACATAGTTTCCAGAGGCATTAGAGGCGTTGCTCTGGCGGCCAGCTTTTCCCGAGAGCAGGAGGGCATATTTCTTGAGCGAGGCAAGGTTGTTGTCTGGGCCGATGGTGAAGACTGCAGGGAGAGCAAACTGGAGCTTCTCGACGGTCATGGCCTGCAGGTTGAGAGAGAAGTCGAAGGGCGAGATGGAGATGCGAGTACACTGGGAGCAACCAGGTTAGCCACGAAGCTCCTGCATCAGTCTTGTAGGCTGGGGGAAAGGGTCTCTCTCGCTCACCTTCTGCCATGGCAGGAGAAAGGCCGTCTTCTTGATGAGGACATCTTGGATGCCAGCACCGGTGATGACCAGGTACTCGTTAGGCTCGGAGACGTTGTACCTAGAGAGTGTTAGACCGTAGCTGTTCAAGTAAACCGTCAAGACAGTTAATCAGTAGAGACTTACCACATGGTGAGTAGTAATTAGATGTGTGGAGTGATGTAGATTTGTAGAGCAGAGTTGAAGTTGGTAGCGTCAGGCAGGTAGTTTATGTGTTGGATCCTTTGAAGTTGGGCGTCAACAATGAATAAGATGAGTATGAGTATGAATGAGTATGAGTGTTTCTCTTGAGAGAGAAAGAGAATGAAGATGGTGATGGTGATGGTGAGAGGGAGAAGCCAGAGGCCACAAGGGGGTTTATATAGCCAGCGAGGCAGCTCTCCGGCGGCTGGTCGACACCGTCATAGAGCAATCCCCATCGTAATCGGGCAAAACAACGACCCAAGCTATCGCAAACTATCCCACGCTCTAAATCCTCCACCACCCCTAGTCTTGCTCTTGCATCCAGCGGAAAAACGGCTCCTCGGCGTCGCAGGCCTGCGTGTGTGACTGGCTGCGTAGGGATCGTGGTTCACGGTCGGCGGAACCACCCGCCATCCTCGTCCTCCGCCTCCGCCTCTTGCTCTCTGCTCTTCGCTCTCTTGCTCTCATGCTCTCATGCTGCTCCGACCCAGGGATACGAGCAGCGTGGGCGCATGAAACAAGAGAAAAGGCGCCTTGCCTGTGAGTAACTAGGTCAGCATAGCTATAGCTCGCATGCTGTAACTATAGTTAACAAAGCCTATGCGCCATTTTGCTGCCTGCTGCGGCGCTTTCAAGAGGCAAGACACAAACATGAGCCTCCGCGGCCGCCCAAGAGCCGCATGTCCAGCCAGTCACGCCAGCCGGTGTCTAGTTCGTGTTGCTCGTTGTTCCCGGCGCTGCCATGGGATCGTCTCGCTAGCCGGCACGAGCGAGCAGCCTCATTGGCGGAGCGGAGCGGATGGAGCAAGGGGAAGAGGACAGGACAGCAGCGCAGGGCTTAGATGGGACTCCTCTCTCTCGCTCTCTCCCCCCTGCGCTTGGTTCGGGCAGTGCATGTCATCTGTCATGCGTTGCTGTGTCGGGCAAATGTCGGCAGTTTTGTCGCTGGTTGGCGGTTCATCCCGGTCATCGCATAAAGCGTATGTACTCTGTGTCTGTCAGCCTGGCTGGCCGACCCGGGGCCTTCTGAGTTATGTAAACTGTCCACGCCCGAAGGCGTTTGCCGTCGCGTGGGCGCGTGCCGGGGTGAATAACTAGGTAGTGAATAGCTGGCCCCAGTCGTGTATATCTACCGGTCGTCCGTACCTTAGTAACCCGCAGTCACAAAACAGCGTAACATAACACATATCACATAGCACCGTTAATCACTCCTCCATACATACTCCGATTGCTTGCTGTCTGACCTCATCTCAGAGCCAGTCAGCCAGCCAACCAGCCAGCCATGGACGAGGTGCCCTCGTACGAAGAGTCGGAGGCCTCCTTTGCGCGGCAGGACAAGAAGTCCCCCTTCCCCGTCCACCCGCCGCCGTCGCTGCTCCCCCAGCAGCTCGCAGAAACACGGACACAGCGCATCCAGTCCATCCTCACCTCCTACGTCGACCCCCTCCTCTTCTCCCAGGGCGCCCACGGCCTGTACAAGACCACCTTCATCCTCGTCCCGTCCTCCGTCTCCAGCCTCCAGGACGCCCCCAGCAACGCTCTCACCACCCCGCAGGAGCCCCAGATCGTCGGCTTCCCGTCAGACGAGGTCGTCAAGCTCGTCCGTCTCCAGGGCGAGGAACATACCATGGAGTTCTGGCGACAGCCCGCCGTCGTCGCTGAGCTGGACTCCGCCCTGCGCGCCCGCCTCGCTGCCTCCGGCCATCGAATCTACAACGAACAGCAGCAGGCTGCCGACGCTGAGCCAGAACCCGAGCCCGAGAAGCAGCAGCAGCCAGTACACGCGCCGAAGGGGAAGCTGAGACGCTCCATCTGGCGGCTGGCTGGCGGCTCGGACGATACCATCAACGACCAGAAGCTCGGCTGGCGTGCCGAGGAGCCGGCCGACGGAGGGAAGAAGATTCCCACGGGGCTGGTCAAGGTCACCATCGTCTGGAAGGAGGTTGCCCTGCGCATATCCAACGAGATGGGCCTTTACGATACCCAGCGGGGGCCGGCCCTCTATCTCACGGTCGAGGTCGGCTCGTAGTCGCTCGCGTTCTGTATCTTAGTTGATGCCACTTTGTCTCTCCATAACGACAGCCATGACTCTCTCTCTCTCTCTTTCTCTCTTCCATCATCCTTGTCTATCTCTCAGTATATCCGCCTGAATTGCCTGTAAATCAACTCGTCTCTCCATGTATCAATATCAAATAGCAAATATCAAATATCGACCTGCTCCCTTCTGATGACGTCAGCAGTGACCTACACGTGACATGTTCTTATCGATAAGCTCATCCCACCTGCTTTTGCTTTCTTTTTCTCTATCAAGCAAAGCTGCAAAACATTTACTTCTCATCAAGCCAACACAAACACTAAACTAATATCAGCCTCGTTGCGCCCTGCTCGCTAACATACAGTCAAAAGATCTAAAGATACCACCGGTCTGACTTCGCAGAGCTGTACCATGGCGCCCTCGACCCCGCTCTCAATCGCAACTGGCGCTGTCCAGCGACTGGTCAAGGAGGAAGCATCCTACCAGCGCGAGAAGAAGGACCAGGAACAGCGCCTCGAGAAGCTGTCAAAGGAGGCCTCGGACGATGAGAACCGCGAGTACATGCTCAATCAAGAGGTTAGAGCTGTTCTTCTTTCTGATGTATATACATACATACGTGTTTATTTAGGCGCTAACGGCTTCCAGCGCAAAGCACTAGAGGAGACCGAGAAGCTTCTCCCCCAGCTAAAACAGAAGATCATCGAGGCCGTTTCAAAGTTGGAGCGTTTGCTTGTGGGTTATTCCTTTTTTTTCCTTTCTTTGCGTCTACAATTGCTAGTTGCTGTCTATATATCGTGAATCATAGCTAATTTCTGCTTCTGTCGTCGGGCGGTAGGCTGAAGAAGGTCAAAAGGGGATGGAGAGCGATGTTGCTCAGATAAACGCTGCAAAGGAGGCCATATCCCAGTCCAAGACTGCTGTTAGGGAAATCTCGTAGGCCGCACGAGGAAACTGATGAACGGGACGAGCGTAATATTGTACGTGTGTATGTTCTCATCCATGATTCCTGTGACTTGCAGGGATTATTATTAGTTTGGTCACTGCGCCTCCTCAATCGTGCATATAACTCTGAAAAAATGGGACTGGGGATGATGGGTATCTATGGCGTCTTGCTGTGTGTCAAGTCAAAGTAAACCGGCCAGTCTCAAGCTCCGCTGTTTTATCTCCGGCGGCTTGTGCATGGGGAAATAGTAATTCAAGCGAGTCCAGCTAGGTGGTATCCATCTTCTCTGTCGGCCGGGTATCAGATATCTCTTCCCCTTCTTCAAAATCATCTTCCATACCCTGCGAGGTGGCTCCCTCCTGAGTCTCCCCTTCGTCCCCGGAGATCTCTCCCTCATCAGCCATGTTCTCATCCCCATCGTCCTTGGCAGTCTCTTTGTCTTCTGGAGTAGCCGCTTCCGACGCAGTAAAGGTCTGTCTAAGCGGAGTGCCACCACGAGTTGCAGGACCAGACCTCTCAGCCTGAAGCTTCGCAATCGCGGGCTTCGTCTCCTCCCCTCCACCTCCAGTTTGTTGCGAGGGAGTCATGCTGCTGTCTGGATCCGGTCGAGGTGTACTGACCGCACTCCTCTTTCCCTTGGAGCTAGCATCCCCTTCATCCCCGTCATCATCTTCCTCCATCCCTTCTCGTCTCTCTACTTCCTCCTTTTCATCCCTGATGAGTCGTCTAAGATGCATCCCTTCATCAACAATACGCCCAAACTGCTCTCTTCGCTCTGCCCATGTCTGCGCGTATTCTGAGCTTTCCTTCTCCAGCTTCGCGATCTCAGCATGCAGCTTCTCCAGGTTCGCCTGTTGATCATCTCGCGGTCGAAGCAGCCGGTTAGAAGTAATCTTGTCCGCTAGCTCGTCGTACGTTTTCCGCAGTGCAAGCGTGTTCTGCGCTTCTTCCAGCTGTGACCGTAGCTCCGTGGTGTTGTCTCGAACTTCCTGCGCGGTCGCCATAATCTCCAGCTTCTCCGCCGCATACCGCTCTCGTTCCTTCTCGTTACTTGCCAGCAGAAGCTGGATTCGGACAAGGCTGCTCTCGAATGCGGTAAAGTCTAGCGTTATATCCTCCCGAAGCTGCCTCCATTCCTCCAGCATTTTCTGCTTTTCCGCTTCATGCTCCTGGTTCGCATTGGTGGCCTCGGGAGGCGGTGTTGCGAGGAACGAGCCCGGTGATGATATGAGAGAGTTCGGCGCAAGTAGACGCTTTGTTATCCTCTTGAATGGCTTCTCTTCAACGTTTAATAGGCGGGATCGGTGAAGTCCATCTGTCGTGGTTGGTCAGTTTTGCAAAGACTTTGCCTCAGTAACCTCCAAGCTCACCTTCATCCACCTGGTCCAAGAGCGAATAGTTCTCCATCTCAGCAATATATCGGCTTCCCTAGAAGCGTGAGTGAGTTATTAAAAATAAAACAGTGCACGGAGTTATCTTCGCCTTCTCCTCGCGATGAACTTGCTTGGTTGAAGCTTGAAAAAGCTCAAAAGCCGCAGAAGCTTCGCACTGCCCGAACGGGACTAGTGCGTCTCCAGCGTGATCACTCTAAAGCGACTTCAAGCCAACTTTGATTCTATCAACATCAGCTTCAAACAAAGACTATTGAGAGCTGAGAAACGAGCCTATCAAACTGTCTAGTCTTACTGACCAAAGGGAAGGGCTACATAGACCCAGAAAGCAGCTCCATGGTTTACTCTGTATTGGGTTGCTTCCTCGGTGGAGGCGTAACTAACTCTGGCTGCCAACTGGTGGCGTTGCGATGAACGATGAAGGATACCCTGCGAGCGGAAACAATTGCCACAGAGTACTGAGTATGGCTGCACGAAAAGTGCCTTAATACGCCCTTAAATCATTGTATTCTACTCTATAGATACCCCCTGGGAACTACGGAGTCGACATTCTCTCGAAAAGTAGTTGACGCTTCAAAGACCTGGTCAATACCCAAATGAATTATCGGGCGTATTAAGATGGCTTACGACTTCCTAAGCAACAATATGGAAAGAAGACTTGGTCGTTATGAAGGCGTTGGAAAGTGGTTGATCTTGACCATGGATGGCAAAAAGCTTACTTCCTCCCATAACCGTCATATAAAGTAAACAATATTTTATATGCTATGTTGTATAGGTTCAACTGCTAGACATAGACTGCTAAAAGGGAAGAGAATAGCTTCCTTCCTAATTTCTACTGCTCACCAGGAATAGAAGATCGCCCATCACCGTCGATGTTTGGCGAAAGGGAAAAGTGGGAAAACGTCATAGTGCCAGTGATGTTTTCAACGTTTGGGTTCCATGGTTGACGCGCTAGAAACGCACCCATGGATGCATAATTGCCATAATGAGAAATGACCACAAGGCAACGTCACCGCCGCCCTCATTTTCCCATGCCACACTGGTGGTTTTTCCGCCATCCTCTTTTGATACCCCGCAATCGAGTGGTGGGGGAAGTTGAGCCACCCCCTTATATACAACTGAGGACGCCTTCACGCTCTTTTCCCTTCGCTTTTGATTGTTCCATCTGCATGTCAAGATCGTCAGGCTTTCCCATCTCTTTCATTCCGTCTATACCAGAATACCCCATTCAACCCTAGACGAACGCGTTCCAAATGGCTGAACCAAAAGATATTGAGCCTGTGCAGACACCCAGTCCTCCTGTACGTGAAGTTGTCTCTGCTCCCGACGGAAATGAGCCAACGAAGGAGGATCTTGCGACCCTGAGAAAGGTGGCTGGTAAATTGCCATGGTCAGCCTTCCTTGTCGCTGTTGTCGAGCTATGCGAGCGGTTCGCATACTATGGTCTGAATGGACCGTTCCAGGTAAGCTCCTACAGATTCAAGTTAATGGTTTATGGTGCTAACTGTCATATCCAGAATTATATGCAGCATAAGTACAAAGATCCCAGTGGAGTTCCGGGAGCTATTGGTGAGTTACTCCGGTTCTTAAACTTATTCTTCGTCTTCGTATTGACTCTCTATAGGTCTTGGGCAGTCTGCGGCCACAGGACTGAGCAGCTTTTTTCAGGTATGGATGACCAAACCGACATCTCAGAACACTTCTGACCCTTCTTATACCTACAGTTTTGGTGCTACATTACTCCAATCATCGGTGCTATCATTGCAGATCAATATATGGGAAAGTACAACACCATCGTCATCTTCGCCTTGATCTATATCTCGGGACTCATTGTTCTGTTCTGCACCGCCCTTCCCATTGCCATTGAGCACGGAGCTTCCCTCGCTGGTTTGGTGGTAGCTATGATTATCATTGGTCTTGGGACAGGCGGAATCAAGGCCAACATATCTCCTTTAATTGCAGAGCAAGTAACTGCGACAAAACCCGAAGTAAAGACCCTGAAAACCGGAGAGAGGGTTATTGTTGATCCTTCACGCACCGTAGAGCGTGTCTGTAAGTTTTTTAAACCCGCTACCGCACTTCTATGAACTGAGCTAATTGAGTCTACAGATATGATTTTCTACATGTGCATTAACACTGGCTCGCTGGCTGCGATCGCAACTACCGAACTAGAACTCCATATCGGATTCTGGGCAGCCTACTTGCTCCCTCTTTGTATGTTTATCGTTGGATTCGTTGTGCTTATTGTGGGACGAAAGGTTTACGTCGTCCGGCCACCAAAGGGCTCCATCTATCCCCGTGCCTTCAAGATCATGTATATCGGCATGAAAAATGGGGGGAACCTAGATGCTGCTAAAAGCTCCTCCCAACGACACATCGGTGGACGCGTATTCCCTTGGAATGATCAGTTTGTGGACGAAATGAAACGAGCCTTGGTAGCTTGCCGAGTTTTCATGTAAGTCACGTCAATGTCTAACTAATGTTATATACCCTTTACTGATTTGACTGCACAGTTATTTCCCTATCTACTGGGTTTGCTACCAGCAAATGGTGAATAACTTTGTGTCCCAAGCCTCGACCATGCAGCTTCATGGGATCCCCAACGATATTATGCAGAACATCAACCCTCTGGCAATTATCATATTCATTCCAATCTGTGATAGAATTGTCTATCCCCTCCTGCGTAAGAGAGGTAAGTTGTACACACATTACTCAGTAACACGACATCCGCTAATGTGAAATAGGCATCAAGTTCAAACCCATTACGCGCATAACCACGGGCTTCTTATTTGCCTCCATTGCAATGGCGTATGCCGCCATTGTGCAGCATCTCATCTATAGCAGTCCACCATGCTACAACACCCCTATGAAATGCGATGCGAGCAAAAACGGGAAACTGCCCAATCAAATCCATGTTGCTGTCCAATCTCCCGCATATCTTATGATCGGTCTCTCTGAGATATTCGCTAGCATTACTGGCTTAGAATATGCATACACTAAGGCACCGCCCTCTATGAAATCATTCGTCATGGCGATGTTCTTACTCACCTCCGCAGTCGGTGCTGCCCTTGGTATGGCCATCTCCCCTGTCGCCAAAGACCCTAAACTTGTGGTAAGTTCACTCTCCTTCCTAAAAGGTCTCAATAGCTTTCTAACCTCCTAGTAGTGGATGTATACAGGCTTGTCTGTCGCATCAGCGGTGGCCGGCATTATCTTCTGGTTCCTGTTCAGCCGCTACAACGCTAAGGAAGAAGCTATGAATGCACTGGCAGAAAAGGAATTACGCGAAGACAGGCCAGTTGCTGCGAACGAGAACTCCATTATCTGAACTGCGTCACGTTTCCACGCTATAGATTCGCAGGAGCACTTGGCTGCTTGAATCGGTCTCGTATAAAATACCTGGGAGGATCGGGTGTGGCGTTCTGTGTATTGCTACTGTTTTCCTATTAACTACCAAAATCTCCCATGGAGTCAGTTGCAGAGCAACATTCCGCCATGGGTGTCTAACAATGCTAATAATGGATGTTTACTATGTTTATGATTCATAGCACATGTTATAACCCGAGACATAGTCGTTCGGCCAAGCAGACGGACATACTGCTTCGCTTCCCAGTAAGCAAAACAGTCTAACCCCAGACTCCTCGGTAGCTGTCGCTACCCCGGCCATCTCAATGTGCTTGTAAACGAAGGGCGTAGGGAATGTCAACAATGTTAACAACCCTTGAACTTCCCAACGACATACATATGCACTACTCCGGACCAACTTCTCGTATTAATTGCATCATCTCATAGCCAATCGGTAGTACCATGCTTAATGTAAGAGCATGACACTTTCGGAAGATATAGGGATCATAGAATTATACCGTCCCAGTCATATCTGCACTCCGAGCCGAGGTGGTTTGTTTCGCAGCCGCTGACTCTTAACATACGGAACATTTTTGAGTTGACTAACTAATTAGGGGGATTCGGCTGTGGAGGCGGGAGGTGGATTCGTCAACGAAAACTAGCCATATACTCCGTACTCCTTACCTCGAGTACATACACAGAGCGAGCAGATGGTCTGTTTGCTGTTATTTGGCGGCTGACTAGGTGTTACTTTACCCCATACGACATTATGACAGCCACGTTTTGGACGTGCGGGACGCTGAAGGATGGATGTATGATAGGTATGACAGCAGCTCTTGGTAGACACACTGACATGCCATGGCTCCTTGGCAGGACGCCTCCCAAGACGGGCGGCGACTAAGCTAAGAGTCGGCGAATTTATGACATGGTAGACATCCTGGGGGGGTTTTGAGGGGCACGCATGGATATCCTACGCAGTTCTACGAGTACAATGTTAAAGAAGGGGTTTAAGTTAAGGGAAAGAAAAGTAATTCTAACACTTGTCTCATTTTATAAATGTATGCTATCGTCGATTCCCCATGCAGAAGCCAAAGGTCTCGCTCACAAAAGAGGGTAGAAGTGGTAGTAGCCAGGACCAAGATAGGACAAAATAGAACAGAAACCCAGGGGGTATGGACTAGGAGGAAAAGTAACTACACAAAATGAAAACCGTTAAAAAAAATTAGAAAAGTTGGTTGAAGGAGAGGAAGAAGGGATCAAATTGGTCGACGTTGTCACGTGAAGGAGGTTTTGAATGCAGAGGGAAGGAAAGGGAGAAAAAAGACAAGAGAGAAAGAGAAAGGAAAAGGGTTCAGTACTAGAGCTTGGAGCCTTGGTCTTCACCACGAGGCGATATGTCTCCGTTTGAGGTTCCGTTTATACGGCCGATGGAGGAAAGGAGGATGCCAACTTCGCGTTCTAGCGAGTTAACCTCGGAGTGTGGGTTGTACATCTTGGATTTGATCCATGAGTCTAGGTCGGAGTCTGAGAATGTTCGGATTGCCGTTTCGCGATCCACCTTGGCGTCCTGAGCAGCACGGATGACTCCTCTGGCGACGGAAACGCTGACTTCACGGATTCTTGTGATTTCAGGGTAGAGCAGGCCTCGGTCAAGTTCCTCGGTTGTCAGGGATGTTGCAAGGGCGTCTGCAGCAGCGTAGATCATGGTATCGGTGACTTCGACGGCCTTGGATAGGATGGTTCCGAGTCCGATACCGGGGAAGACATACATGTTGTTGCCCTGGCCAGGGTAGTAGGTGGAAGTCTCACCGGCACTGTTCTTGAAGGAGAATGAAGGGAATGGAGAGCCAGAGGCAAATAGCGCACGGCCATCTGTGTGAGTGATTGCAGACTTAAAGTCACATTCTGAGTTGGCGGAGGGATTTGAGAGAGGGAAGATGATAGGCTGCTTGTTATTGTCTGCCATCTTCTTGAGGATCTCTGGAGTGAAGACACCTCCAAGGGTGGAGAGTCCCATCAGCATGGTGGGCTTGACATGGTCTACGACTTCTTCCAAGGTCTTGAACTGCTGGCCGTTGTTGTCATGGCGCGCGAAGTAGACTTTGTGAGCGGCAAGTCTATCACCTCGGTCCGCAGTGACAAGGCCCTTGGTGTCCACAAGGTAGAAGCAAGCTTTGGCCTCATCCTCGGTCATTCCCTCCTTGACAAAGAAGTCGACGATCTGCTTAGCAACACCGACACCTGCACTTCCAGCGCCGAGGAACACAGCACGGTGGTCCTTGGGTGGCAGGCCAGATCGCTTGACGGCATTTATCACTCCACCCAAAATGACGGCTCCTGTTCCCTGGATATCGTCATTGAAGCAAGTGTAGTTGTGACGGTATTTTACGAGGGCAGGGAAGGGATTCTTGAAATCCTCAAATTGTATGACGATACTGTTGCTTTGTTAGCCGAATGACGGTTCCCCAAAACATAACGGTCTCAGAAATAATCGCTTACCCTGGCCATCTCTCGGTCAACGCAGCCATGAGCTCATCCATGAACTCAAGCTCCTGCTCCTGAGTAACCTTGCCACGGCGGCTGCCCATGTACAGAGGGTCTTCTCTTAGAGCCTTATTGCTGGTTCCCAGGTCAAGGGTGAGGGGGAGAGTAGCTTCGGGCCTGATGCCAGCACAGGCAGTATAGAGAGCAAGCTTTCCAATTGGGATACCCATTCCGTTGATTCCGAGATCGCCCAATCCCAATATTCTCGAGCCGTCGGTGATAACAGTGATGTCGACGTTTGGCTGGGGCCAGTTCTGGATGACTGCGGCAATGTTTCCTCGGTCCTCGTAGCTAAGATACATTCCTACACTCCAGATTAGCCATTGTCACCTCGTAGCCAGCACAGAACCACACTCGGAAGCTCACCTTCAGGCTGCTGATATATCTCAGACCATTTCTGGCAAGCTTCACCAACAACAGGTGTGTAGATAAGGGGAGTAAGCTCCTGCACAGCTGTTAGCCTATCCGTCCACCAAAAGTGCCCCTCCCAACGGCTCAGGCAGTCATGTATATACCTGTAGATGGTCCATGACCAGGCGGTAGAATAGGTGCACACTGTTCTTGCGGATCGTGCTAAGGTAGAGGAACTTCTCGATAGGAGTAGACTTGAGGGCCAGCTGAGCAAGACCTGCAGTTACAGTCAGCTTCTGCACCACGCAACGGAGCTTCCGGAGCACTTACATCTGGTCTTCTGCACCTCATAGCTCTCTGCACGAGGCGGCGTGAGTCCGTATGTGCGAAGATACTTGCGGATGTATCCTGGATTCGCAGTGTCGAAGTAGCCGTCGCTATAGAAGACAAACTGTCAGCACACCGAAAACAGCAAGGCGGTGAGGTTATACTGCTGGCCCAAAGGGGAAAATCTCGACGTCGACGAGAACGACTTCAGGCAACTTACACTGGAGAACCGGTCGAGCCGGCAGGCGACTGTGCGGGAGACGAGGAGTGCATCGCGTTATACTGAGGGCAGTACAGGCTAGGACCGAGCATGCTGGGTCTGGAGCGCAATGGCAGTGAGGCAAGGGGGGTAGTAGAGCGAGAGGTGAGTTTGCGGGTGTGAGAAGCAGCAGCAGAAGCAACAGAAGCAATCCTGTGGTGCGTCGAGAGAGGTGGACGAGAAAGCATCTCCCACCCGAGGAACGAGGACGAGGCCGTTGATATATAGTTAATGGTAACCAATCTTCTTCTAGGGGCCCACGTCAGTACGGTTTCTCGCTCTTCTCTCCTTTGCTTTGCTTTTGAAACAAGGATTGGAGCCGGATTCTGGGGAAGGGAAGGGGACTGGCGAGCAAGGGCAGGGAGAAGACGAAGAGCAAACAGAAGCAAGCCAGCCGTCACGACAAGGAAACTCTGCGTGAAGCTTGCGATGCCTTGCGGAGGTAACTCCTTCGGGATCGGGCGATATCGGGACAGTCTGACTGCGACGCCGCTGGCGCGCTCGAGCTGGGCTGGACGAAGATGCGTTTCACCAAAGCCCAAGGGGAGCAACTCTTCCCGAGAATTTGAAATGCGACAGGGCGGCCACTGGCTGGCTAAAACTTCGCTCCCGGCGCTGAACGCGCATATCAGAGACTTCTCGTTTTGTGTTTGACAACGTCTAAACTATACGCATACAGTTACGTTCCTGCATCAACCGCAGAGGAGAGTGAGTGAGTGAGTGAGTGACTACATCGAAGTATAGCTCCTGCGCACGATCATCAAGGAGGGACGTTGTTCAACCGTCCTTTTCCCGATCGTGCAATGACGAACTTGTGTCTTGGCCTACAATTGCTTCTTCTTCGATTGCTGCTGTTGTTGTTGTTGTTGTTGTTGTTGCTGTTGCTGTTGCTGTTCTTTTTTTGCTTCTGCTTGTGAAGGTGCTTTGATCATCGCCCAGCTCCGGAAGACCCCGAACCTAAGGGTTGGGTTGCTGTTACAATCATTCAAAGAGGATCGAAATTAAATTACGGTCCTCCTCTGTTCTCAAGGCCCCTTTTTGGGGCATTCAATATTTTAACACACACCCAGTGAGAATCCCGAGTTGCTTCGATATCCCATCCTGACAGGGGAAGCTCCCGATCCGCTGCAAGCTTGACAAGGGTGCCTTCAGACAGGGTACGGATACGCTTCCTCTCATGCTCCACCCTCGGTGAACAGGGGAAACCCCTGCCGGTCATGGTTTTAAGACGACGTTCGGTTTTGGGGCTGCCCAACAAAATTTCAAGAGCCCAGAACCCAGACTATGGACAAACAATCCAATCATACCGGCCAATATATGATTCCACAAGCCACATTTCAGCAACCGTTGGGCTTTTTTTTCCCAGCCCACGAACTAGCTGCCCAATGGGGTTCAAGGCAATAACATATTTGACAGATCGTGAAAAGAAGTTTCCTGAAAGCCAGTCGAAGGAAAATAACAAGAGCGCCTGCCCGGGCTTCTTCGCTGCTATCCGTATATTATTATCGTGATGATTACGCCTCGTTCGGCGCACTGTACGAGGACCTTTGGTCGATAGTTAATCACTGCCACCCAGACCGGGCCTATGATGGACAAGGGCGATCATGCTGTTGCTCCCATATCCGAATATTACTAATAATGGCGCAATAATCTGTTGCAGACACATTCGTGGCGTTGTAGGGGTCTTTGCTCCGTATTGAGCGGCTGAAGCAAGGCAGAGGCAGACATCCACGGCACCATGGTTCGTATTAGTCTCATGTCTAATAATAATTTCACGCAGAAACGAACAGCCACTGAGTTCACCCCTTTGATGAATCACAAACCAGCCTCGAGACGACACTCACACTCCTGGAAGCGAGCATCAATCCAACTAGTTTATCGACTACGACCGCCCCAATGAGATCTCTTGACGGCATTATTTCGATCACCGAACTACTGAAGAACGGTGCATTTTCAACCGGGGAGTTTCGCTCGAAGTTATCCCTTTTTGGAATACGCCGAAATGAATCGCCGTTCCGATATGATAGGCCACAGTCGGCTCCTTGTTCCATCGCAAACCACCCCTTGAGGATTATGATACAGTTGGGTCAAACAACCCATACCCATAACCCATGCTGCTGCAGGCACCGTTTCGCCCTTCCATTGCCTTCCAGAACACCCACTAGCGCCGAAAATTAGATAAGCGGCGTCCGGACTATCCAAACTACTGTGCATCATTTCCAACCACGTCCACCAAAACAACAGCACGGTCTTTCGTATTGGACTCGGCGCTAATGTGAAAGTGGCTAGTTAACGCCGAACGACCGTGACTACCAGGGCTAGTAGGCTACGGGTAAAGTTACCGTGGCAAGACGAGCTGATGATGATGTGTTTGATGTTACCTTTCCAGAGTAATATCAGATATGCTACTGGTTTAAGGATTTGCGTAGTACGAAAAACGGAGTAGGATTTCGCATTGCATTTGCGACCATGGCCGCCCCCTTTTCATGCATGTTATCACCCTTGCCGTCCCTTCGTCCCGTCCCGCACGACCTCTTACCGCATCTGTTTTCTAGCCGACTAGCGAACCTGAGTGATCGACTTTTTAGTTCCATGACGGCCAAAAGGGGGAGAGACATGTATGTCTGATAGTTACTCCGTAGGTCTGTTACATGAGTTTGAGGAGCCTAGTATGTTCCTTCCTGACGATGTTTTCGCTTCCTGAAGGAAGATTTCAGCGCATGCAGCACGGCATACTCCGTACCTGTGATTCAGCTCTAATAACAAACGCAGATAATATCACCCTCAAGGGTGTGAACACAGCCGGCTGTAAGCCCCCACGGAATTGGTCAAATTTAAACGATGGCTGATCCTCTGCCACAAAATTGATATGCAAGAGGGACGGTTGGGGTCAATCAGCCCTTGTAAATACGCAACCTGATCTCGATACAACTTCCTCTTCAGCTAAACACAACCCACACTATATTTGAAACCCATGCGCGATATACGTGTTCTTCTCGTCGAAGATACCAGCGCACATCGCCTCTTTCCTTAGACAGTCATGAAGTAGTACCTCAAGGCGGAATCATACTCCATCAAAACCTCCGCCTCCATATCCTCGATCTTTACAACTCTCTGCTGGGAAACATACAACTCGTATGCATCTATCATAATTGATGGGGCTACTGCAGCACAGATATATTTAGAGCCGTGGCCATCGCCATTCTCCTTGGCAGCAGCCGTGGTCCGATCAAATGCGCCTTCGGGAGCAAGCAACATAAGAAATCGGATCGGGTCGTTTGGTGACTGGGGAGTAACGCGCACAAACATCCCAGGCTTGAGGCGTTCTTTGAACGGCGTGGTAGGTTTCTTGGGCTCGCTAGGCGTGGCGTTTTTAGGCTTCGAAGAACGGGAGTCAACGTGGAGCTGCCATATCTTATCAAAGAAGGCTCTGGCCTGCTCGGGCCGTACTCCGTCTGTCTTTAAGCATCGAGAGACGAATTCGCCTTTAGGTAGCTTGCATATCTGCATTCCGGACTCAGTAGGCGCAACATGAGAAGAGTCTACGGGAGGCGAGCCGGACTGTATCTCATTTGTTGTTCGTTAGCGTACTGCCTCCTTCTTTAAGGCCAGGGGAGAAAGAAAATAGTGAGAGGAAGACAAGGCAAGTATGAAAGGGGGAAATGGACAAACATTGTTCTCAATCCATTCCCGCAGTTGCTTGTTGGTCCAGGTGCGGGGGACCGCTGGATCGTATACCACAGGCTTTGATTTTGGCACCTGGACCCTGAGCATTTCTGCATATCGAAGGGAGCTTTTCCCCTGATTTGCGTCAGTAGCGCTGGGGCTAACGCATGCAACGACGGCAGTCTTGCAGGAACGATGGCTGTTGACGTCAAACACATGTTTCAGCACCTTGGTGAGCGTGGTGTTACGGAACGGGATATGGACATGTTTCGAGCTAGTGCCCGAAGCCGTATTCTCATTGATGTTCCAGGTAGCCCGGCCTCGAATACAGTCCTTGAGCATTGAAAGAGAGGAATTGATATCCTTTGTTTCTTTCATGCGCTCTGGTGTGTGATCTTTGGAATCAGCCGCAGCCTCGCTACCCGCTAGATCGATCAGAAAGAGTAGACCATCAGGACAGTCCGGATCATCCTTGTTTTCTATCCTGATTCGGCAGATAGCGTGCGAGCGGGAAGAGGCCTCGTTTTTCAAAGTCGGGGCACTAGTCCGGAAGGACATGCTAGTCTTGATGAGGTCGAGAAAATCCTGGATCGTCGAAGGGGTGCGTTCGACTACACCTACCAATTGGGTTTCTCCAAACGAGTCTTCCATGACGCTGATCCGATGCTTGTCGTTGAGGAGATCTGAATATGGTTAGCAAAACATTATTGCTGCTTTGAGTGTTTACAGTCGAAATGAGGCAAAGGATGAACGCTTCCCCTACCGAATGCAGCTTTCCCTGCCAGCTCAAACACAGATATATGAACGCTGCGTCGCCCGGGGATCTCTCCGCCTAACAAATCCGATGCTATGAAGGTTTCCATTTCATTCACGGTGAAAGTCTTGCCCGATCCAGTCTGACCGTATGCAAAAAACGTTCCAACACCACCGCCCCATGCCCACGGTACCAAGGGGGCTACAAAATCGTCGTACATCGATCTGGTTGTGCTCTCTGGCCCGTATGCTCGGTCGACAAGGAAGCTAGACGACTGTAACGGGGTTTGGAACATGAACGTGGGACGCATGCAGTGGAGTATGTACTATATCTGGGGTATATAGCATCGTTCAAGTACATACGTTCAAAGCAGGCTGCCCGTTGACCTTGAGCCGAAGTTCATGCACGTCGACGTCCCCATTTCCATCACCACGAACGAACAGGCCGGGGACATGGCCAGCCTTCTGCTCGTGAGGGAGAATTGGGCGTATCCTCGCCGAGATGATCGTGTCAGAGGAGATCTCGCTCTCGTTCCCATTCTTGGATTTCCCAGAAACAGGCTTGAACTCCTTTACTTTTTCAATAAAGAAGGCCTTGTGTTCGGCGAAAGAAGTTGGAAGTGCCATCACTACCAGGTAGTTATCTCCTACTTGCACCGACTTCTGTCGAGTTTTCGTATTGACATCTTCCCCCCCGCCCCTCAACGACCAAACATTGCCAATTTATACTCCGCAAACACCAGCCCGCCAGGCAACCACGTCGTCTCTTGGCCCTTTGATGACTCTGCTTTTGGTCTAGAACAACCAAGAGTTCGGCACCCGGCTTGGCGCCCGCCTGCCTGCCCCAAGCTTACAAGCTTATTACGTAGTTGTTTTTGGGGTTCAAGGTTGGACGAGCAACAGTGCAAACTGGGAAGAAAGCCAGGTGTGACGTGCCGATGCTCATGGGGCTACCTTATATCTGTAGCTGGTCTGCCCAGTTGTCGTCTTGCTTTCACTCTAAATTGAAGCGAGCAGGCCGTGTATGAAGACAAGATAAATAGCTGACCTCCGCGGTCACATCAATCTATGAATCTATGATAACAGGGGTTCATCCACCGTCGGTCAAAAACCAGGGAATAGATCACAATGTTGTCGTGCTGTAGGGCTCGAAAAGATGCTACCGGTGAGCGAGAGCCTCTCCTCGCAGCATCGGAGGCGGAAACCGACCTGCAGCGCAAGGTGAAGGAGAAATTCCGACAATATGAGATGCTCCGGGCGTTGTCCGCTGGCTATATGCCGACGACAGAGCAAGCAGCAGCGCTTCTGCGGCTTGTCCTTGTTTCCGACGTGCTTAACCCAGATAACCCTATGCTGAGCCCTAGGGCCGGAAGCATAGCAAAAGATTGTCGAGCATGGACCCGAATATTCATTGCTCTCCTACGGGAGAAGAACGGCGGCGACCAGCTGCAGGAAATCATCAGCCAGCTCACCCACTCGGATGCTTCTATAAACACAGCCCATATTACTTCTGTGGTATCGAAATCCAAAGCCCGAGCGGATACTATCGCCGGTATTCTTTAAGCTCTTATCCTCTGTCAATAGCACTCATGTTACTATATACATAACAAAAAAGCTAACGGTCTACTCGTCTCCTAGCATACGAAAGTGTACGCACCGTAGGAAAACTTCTTATGACCAATTCAGACTTTCGTCGTTTGATTGGAGACATCACCACCATCGGTCGCAGTATCTTCTCGGATACCACGGCATCGCTTTCCGACGCAATTAACAACATTGCAGAGGAGATTGAACCGTCAGAATCACAGAAAAACAGTGTTAAGGCCACAAATGGCGACAACAAACAAGCTCCTACCACTGATGAGCTGCTGCAAGATGGCGAGCAAGTCATGGAGACTGCAAGGGAAGGGCTAGAGGATACCGGGCGTGCGGCTAAAAAGAGTGCTGAAACCAACATATCCGCTGATGTCCAGGATTCACTCTTCTCCCAAATGAAAAGGACAGTTGCGGACCTGCGTCTACGGACAGATTATGATGATTCTGTGTCAACCATATCAGGACTTGTCCAGCGCTATGCTGGGGTATACATGCAGACCATAGGCTCCACGGTTGAGGGTGCTTCGGACGCCCTTGATATTGACCCAGAGTTGCATGGTGCTATGAAAAACTTATGGGAGTTTGCAAGCTCGTTCGGCAGCCAAAATGAGTGGCAAGCTCTTGAGAGTAAATTCCAGCAGCTAATGCAAGGTACCAAAAAAAGTGCTGGGGTAAATGATACGTTTGACCACATTGGACAGTCCGTTTACAGGCTCTTCACCGATCCCAGCTTCTGGGACTCAGGAGAAGATACCGTGAAGGCACTGAAGGAGAAAGTGAAGGAGACCGAAAACGACCTACCACAGCAGGAAATCAAGGACTTCATCTATCAGCTCAAGAAAACACTGATATCTGTGACGCAGGATTCCGCCGTTGTGAAACTCATCGCAGCCACAAAGAAAATCGCACTGGGTATATATGAAGCCTCTCGTAATGAAGGCGTTCGCCTTATGGCAGATGCACTAAACATCTTCCTCCCTCTGTTGATTCGAGCGATCCAGTATATACCTATACCAAGATTGGAAATTTCAGCCCCCCGAGTGGATCTCCTGCTTGAGAACGTTGTGATCGAACCTGGTCACACTGTCCACAACTCTTCGTTTCTTCCATATCAGGTCTTAGTCACCACAGTAAACAACATGGAGCTTCGCAAGACCCATTCGAAGGAAGTTGTTTCGGGCATGAAAAACGTTGTTAACGTCACCCTGAATGGTCTTTGCTTTTCCGCAAATGATTTCGGCTATTGGATAAAAAAACACCAGCCTCCCCTCCCCTCCATATTCGACGAAGGTATCGCCAGTTTCTGTCTCGACCAGCGTGGAATCGACGTTTCCTGTGAATTCGAGGTTGGCCGAGAGCGGCTGGAGCAGATCCTGTCTCTCCGTGCAGTGAGAGTCCATATCCATAAACTCGATTACTCTATCACCAAGAGCCGCTGGTCATGTATTTTGTGGGCCCTCAAGCCTTTCCTCAAACACATGATCAGACGCAGCCTAGAGAAGATGATAGCTGAGAAAATAGTGTGCTTTGCTCGGGCCGCGAATCGAGAACTGCTTTTTATGAGAGAGCGCCTACGTGCAGCACGCATAGCTGATCCCGATGACTTCTTGACGTTTGTCAAAGCAGTTATAACTAGGCTGAGCGGGAAGGCAGACCCAGATATATTCACCAGACTCGGCTTTGACGCCCAACGAGGGGGTATCTTCGATGGTGTCTATGCACCGGGAAGTCTAGCCAAGGCCTGGCATGATGAACAGCAGAGGGCAGACGACCTCATTGAAAGAAGCAGCCAGGCAAGTCTTGACCAAAGACCGACCTGGAAGAACAGTATATTTGATGTTCCTGCTGGGGGATCTTAATCCAACCGCTATCTGACTTATTCGGCCTTCACTTTTCCTATATTCTGGGTATTATTTCGGGCAAGATAACATATTTTAGTGTAACCACAAAACTGTCACCCTATGCAATGTCAGCATATCAAATGGAAACCAGCTCCTATCAAAACATATCTTCGTCTTCTGTTGTTTTGTTTTTGACTTCGTCGTCGCCAAAAATGAAAAATATATTACGTAACCATCGGCAAAAAGTTCTTCCGTCTGAAGCTTGAAGCCCAAACTTTAACTTTACTAATCGATAATAAGAGGAAGTTGATAATCTGGCATCAACGCGAGCAAGCAAGTCGGCCAAACATCAGCTTCTGCTATTTTTCCCCAGACAGCCAACTGGTTGTTGAGCTGCTGTAGAGGAGCGCAAAGCCCTGAGAGCCTGGCTGGCCATTGACAAGATATCCCCAACACTCTTCCGTTTCCCAGCGAGTTGCTCTGTATTTCGCTTCTACACCGGAAGAGCTACCCTCGAATCCTGATAGCACGGGCAGGATACATGCTAAGCGCCTGAAGCGCATTCGGCGTTGCCATCCGGCTATACTGTCAATCCTTACGTACCTTGATTCCCGGGGGTGGACCCCAGTCATTCACCATGGTCGCGTTTCCGCTCCTCCTGCTATCGGCCCTCTTCGTCCTGATACCGTTGACACTATGCGCTGAAGACTACTACAAGATATTGGACATCGACCGGTCAGCCTCAGAGCGTGATATCAAGAGAGCGTACAGAACGTTAAGCAAAAAGTTCCACCCTGACAAGAATCCGTAAGTTGAATATACCGGCGCAAGACCGGCGCAAACCCCTATCAATAAGCTGTAGTAGTGGCTTAGGCTTGTTATAAAATGACAGTATATGCTAATAATCTATATAGAGGGGACGATTCCGCGCATAAGAAATTCGTCGACATTGCTGAAGCATACGACGTCCTATCCACGGCCTCAACAAGGAAAATATATGATCAATACGGGCATGAGGGTCTACAGCAACATAAACAGGGCGGAAGCGGTGGTAGACACGACCCCTTTGACCTGTTCTCTCGGTTCTTCGGTGGCGGAGGGCATTTCGGTCACCAGGGCGGCCACAGACGTGGCCCTGACATGGAACTTCGCCTCGAACTAGCCTTACAAGATTTCTATAACGGCAGAGAGGTGGAATTCAAGATTCAGAAACAGCAAATATGTGATGCTTGCGAAGGTTCTGGCTCCACGGATGGAAAAGTGGATGTCTGCAACCAATGCAAGGGCCATGGTGCCGTAATTCAAAAACACATGATCGCTCCCGGTATATTTCAGCAAGTTCAAATGGCTTGTGACAAGTGCGGAGGGAAAGGAAAGTCGATTCGGCATCCTTGCAAAGTATGCGGCGGTAGCAGAGTCGTCAGAGCTGAGGTTCCTATATCAGGAACCATAGAAAAGGGTATGGGCCAGGGATCAAAACTGATATTCGAAAATGAAGCCGATGAAAGCCCCGACTGGGTTGCGGGAAATTTGGTTGTCACATTGAAAGAAAAAGAGCCCGTATTGAGTGATTATGAACCTTATCGCACGGATGGAACATTCTTCCGCCGCAAGGGCAAAGACCTTTTCTGGAGGGAAGTTCTCAGCGTCAGGGAAGCCTGGATGGGAGACTGGACCCGAAATCTAACACATCTGGACGGCCACATTGTACAGATAGGCCGCAAACGAGGCGAAGTTGTCCAGCCCTTTACAGTGGAAAAGATACCAGAGCAGGGAATGCCAATATATCATGAAGGCCACATACACGAACAGTCTCCACACGACGAATTCGGTTCGCTTTATGTTGAATACGTTGTTGTCCTACCCGACCAGATGGAGAGTGGCATGGAAAAAGACTTCTTCGCTCTGTTCGAAAAATGGCGGAAGAAGAACGGTGTCAACCTCCAGGAAGATTCCGGCCGGCCTGCTCCTCCAGAGGTTGAAAAGCACGACGAGCTATAATATATATATGTGTGCCATCATCATTACTACATTGCATTCTACTGGCTAGTTCAATTCTCTTTTGAAATACTCTTCTTCTTATGTATTTATTTGAAAAACCTTTCAGTCTTTCCACCTCCCTTGGAATTGCAGCAGATTTAGAGCCTAGAAGATGAATGAAACAGGATAGATAAGGTATTTCCTTTCTAGAATCTACGTCTGGCTATCTTAATCTTCACGGTGAATCAGATACCCAGCATATTCAGCAACATATAACTATGACTGCAACAAAGAAAATCACTCCCCAGTCACTGAATGCTATAAACCCGCTTTACTATTTACGATCTGCCTTCTCAGAAAATCATTACAGGGTATATTACCCTTATCAATAAATTTAGAGCTTCGCCAGCATACGTTGCACACCTTGGCTATAAGGCTTTGTTCTTCAATATACCTAAGTTTATACCATAGTATGAAGAAAATGCGAATGTATCTACTCCTTACGCCTTTACTATCCTATTTGGCTATGGGAGCCAAAACCTCTGCCTCATCAGATCGCAGCCGTTTCCACCAAAGAGTAGAGGATGTGGCTATTGTCGATGATTCAGTGGCCACCCACCTACAGCATGTTCTTGAGGGTGAGTGCGTACTTCAAGGGTCCCTATTCTAGTTACATGTATGTTGAGAGAAATATTTTTGAATAAGGATTTATTTATCTAACTATTTATTCCAACGCTAATAACTAGCTGCTCACACTAGGAAACCCTCTTCGAGATCTTATCCCAAGCAACTTCCTTCCCCCTTTTGCTTTCGATGGCCAGCCACTCTCTTCTGGGCCGCATAACCAAAAACACCGAGCTGGTAGAGTATCTCGGCGCACAACCCAAAGCCCCGTTAAAAATATCATCAGCATGGAGAGCATTATCCTTTTACTGCATGTAATAGGAGCAGCTGAGAGTGCAGAGCAAGTCACAAACCTCTGCGAGACGGTGAATTTCAAACGGATTACCGACAACGGGCTAGACGGTGCCATGCTTGAATCGATGATATGCAAAAGAAATGATCTTGAGTTTTACCTTCCAGCAAACTCAGAGGCAGTAAAGGAGCTGCTGTCAACGTGGTATATGGGGCTATGGATGCAAATACTTTACGTTGCCTTCGCAGGGCATTATCCGGACCTGTGCAAGATATTTGAAACGAAGAAGATGTCTGTTATCAATATGAATGGGACCTTTTTGGAACATGTTTTGTGCTCTTTGTAGGTTAACTCCCTATAAAAGCTTCCAGCCAGGAAAATGGAGGTCCATGAAAAGCATCATCCTTTTATAAAGGGGAATATCTTGGTAAGTATTGTCTGTTTAACAAACTGCAACAACCGTCAGCTGTCTGATTTTTGTGATGTTCTATGTACATTCATTCATAAAGTTGAGCTCGACTTTTATGTCTTCAGTTTAGAACCATGACTCAATATCGTTAGCCCCTATACCGGTATGCTTCTAAGCTGCAAAACCAGCAACTGGGCCCCTATTGATTATCGTTCTATCGTTGCAAATCAGGCTTCCCTACCTGAAACTACATTTCCAGCACCGTCCCATTTGGAATTTCTTACCGACAAGTGATAGTGTCGGGCTCCACCCCAATGTTGATACCTCCTATACCCAACGTACGAAAGCACAATCAGGACCACACCCACAAGTACTCCAGTAGCAATCCCCGCAATGGCACCTCGGCGAAGCCCTATCTTCAAACTTCCAGCTAGATCGGCTTTTATTGTTGGCTGAATGCTAGGCACTGCACTCGATGTAGAGCTGGGGAGTATAAATTCGCCCGATGCATTGCTGAAGCAAGGAACTCGAGGGTGAAAGCTACCGGAAGCAATATATCTGATGTCTGCACAAGAATAAGAGGTTTCTATATTTCCGTGGTCAATGGGAGCCTGATATTTGATCTGCAAGGTGGCATCTGTTTCATTCATGGTATTTTTTGGAGGGTCTGGGACGGGGTAACATCCACCACCGAGGCCAGTGCCTTTGATTCGGTTTGGTTTTATGAGGATGACGAAATCATCATTTGACATGGGATCTAATGATTTATCTAATTAGCAGTCGTCAGCCCCTTGAAATCATCAGGCCTACTTACTTTCTTTGTACGATATGCTCACTTGGATATTAGATGTATCTTCTTCGATTACAAGTGCTAGTACTCCATGCGCTAGTTAAATCTCCGTCAATAAACTTCCACTGTTCTACATGAGCCGTATTTAGATAGGTTATACACTCACATAAAGGAAAATAGGTTCGATTTATAACACCCGCAGCCGAGCCGCAAGGAGAAGCGCTGTATTGGGCCGCATTCTGCTCTCGGCTATGGGGCCATATGAATCTTACAGGGTCCATCTTGCTCAGTTCTGTTTCAACGCATCTACAATGGCTGCCGATGTAGACTATTTCCAGGACGCTGTAGCATGAACGCACTACACGTGATATATATATATATATATATATTCCAGCTATCGTCGCCAGCAATCATGCGACCTAGGTGTAACGTTATAGTTATTGTCTATCAGTAAAAGCTGATGTGTCGAAAGATTATATGAGGGCTGAATCTATCTTTAACAGCCCTGTGCCTTGCACAAAAGAGGAGGCGCTGCCGGATAACCGGGCTACATTATATGTACGTGTAAAGACGAATGACCACTCCATAGCACGCGCCCAGGGTTAACTAGTTATAATTGAAATTTCCTCTGAGGCATGGGGCGAACTGTGAGGTACCGCAAACAACTTGATTTCCGGTGGAGCTCTAATTAGTACAACTGCATATCATCCTTCCGGCCAGTGGATAACGAATTCTAGTATGTTGCATTACATCTTTGTTCGAAGCTCAGCTCAACCCTCTGTCTCCATTGGTCAAAAAGTCAACCCTTCTTAGTTAGTTAACACATCTAAGCCAAGATATAATGGTAACACCAGGCTATAACTATCACCTAAACCCATTATAGTAGCAGCTGAAATACATATCACACGACTGATCAAGTGACAAGGGTATAGCTGTAATTTATAGCTGATTAAAACGACCCTTCTCTCTTCTTTCCTTCCTATTTATATGGCTGTAGAAAGTTAATTCCGATCTGATAACTTAATCGTGTGAATAAGAGCCTTCTATTGGTCAGAGAGCTCTCCTACCCCACTTTCGTCCTTATCTGATCTTATCCATCAAACGCTTCAAAGGAAACGCTGAACGAATTTGCTACGATTTTTGCGGAGTAGTACATGATTTGACTATGATCATCTGTAGTAGTGCCCATGAGTCGTCGCGTGCCCTTTTTCATCCTACATGATTTGAACGTCCATGATAATCTCCCACTCTTTGAGAATGAAGTCTTTCCGGAGGGTAACTTTTGAAAGATCGAGTGCAACGTGTGTAACTAATAAAACATCGAACAATTGAAAGGGAGAACAAATGGTCATAGGAGAAAGGGTGGATAGTCTGGCTACTTTCCATTGTCGCCAGTGATCTTCTTGACAACATTGCGAGGCCGTGGACTTGTATGCAAATGATGGTCGGGGCGGCATAAGACGTGATTGGTGTTATTCCCGAGCGTTGCTTCAACATAATAGACATAGTTAAGTGGCCAACTTATCCTAGTGCATAAGAGATTCTTAATTCCTTAGGGTTCAGAAAAGAATCATCTTGTGTTATGGCCCCACGGTAGTTTTGCGTATCTTTAGTTGATCTGCGACTTTCACATCAGCTTGGGGAAGGAAGGCCCATCAAAAAATGCAAGGGGAATGAACCCTGAAGTTGTGGTAGTAGAATGGCATTATCACACGATAAAAGTGGTGCGGCTATTTTTTTAGCGAAACACTAGTAACAGGAAAAGGAGTTATGGCATACTGGAAGGGCGAGAAGAAGTGCATGTCTGCATTCTCGAGTGTGTGAATATTAAATAGTAAATACATTTAAAAGAAAGTATTAAAGAGATATACCCAATGAGATACCGAGTCCATGCCAGAAGGAAGGTGGGAGGAGAAGAAAGGAGAGAAAAGAAAGGAAAAAGATAACTGCGTCGATGCAAAGAGCGCTTCCGCTAACAGCTTCCAACCAGCGCTGCCGATAAAACGCCCGTAAAATGGTCCAGCTGAAAAAGAAGAGAAAATAATTTTCAAGAATAAGCCAAAAAAAAGAAAGCCGCCTTAAAGAGTATCTGTGCCCATGAACTCTCATGCACTGCGAATGGGCGACTGGGCCAAGGTGAAAACAAGAACAAACGAGCAACACGGCTTAGACGAATGCTAGCAGTGCAAGACTCTGCTTCGTCGTCTGGCTTTTAATCGATGTTCGGTATCCATGAGTTTGTTCTGCACCCATAGGCGAGATTCTTGATCCGTCTTAATATCGCTGCAGTTGAGCAGGTCGATCAGTGCGAGTTTAACCTGGAGATCGACGTCATTCGACCTGTCGCCATTGTCATCGGAGAGGTTGATGGTTGGGTCGAGGATATCAGCAAAGCAGCGAGATGAAGGCGGAGTGGATTGATATCGGATTGGAGACGGATGGCGTAGTATTTTGGCGGGTGGGGGGCATGGAGAGGATGGAGATTGTGAAGATAGCTGTGGCGACGGGATTTGGCGGTGTTGGCAGTGAGAATCGCGCATGTTTGCGTGACGAGCTGCGAGAGCCATCGAGTAGCTACGGGGGGTCGTTGGTGATTCGAGAATGGGCTCGTCAATGGAGAGAGTGTTTATTGATATCGGAATTGACTCCATGGTAATGGTTGTGACTGTTGTTCGCTGGTGGTGTGGTTTTTCTTTGGTGATGGTGGCGGGCCCCGTACGGAGTATAGGGGCGGATGCGAGCAAAGCAAGGCAAACGGCCACTTCAGAAGAGGAAAAGAAGCGAAAAATAAAATGTCAGTTTTCTGGTTTGATGGACTTTTTTTCGGTGTATGGCCTTTTGTGAACGGCGTCCTAGTGTTTATGCAGAAAGAGGAGAGATGTGTTGAGAAGGGAGGGTAAAAGGGGTATTTATCCGTCCCTAAAGCCCCTTGCGACGCTCAAATCAACGATCTCCTCCCTGTTGCTCCCTGGCCAGGCCATGTCATCGCTCCACTACTAGCGACAAGTTGCTGCGCAACCTCGAGTCTGACCGCTGTGGGACCATGATGTAATGGGCTTTAAATTAATTATGGAGATATGAACCCCTAGCAGCGGCCAATCATGCCTAGCAGGTTTCGCCGTTTGACAGAAGGATCGTAACTGACATAAGCCTATCCCCTTCCCTTGACGGTTCTCAAGGGCAAGGCTATCGGGGGCAGCCTGTTGGGAGCTCCCGGAGGCTACGGAGAAGTCCACATAAAAGGGCTCGTCGCGAGCATGAAGACACCGTGAGCTCGGAAAGTGGAAAAGTGAAGGTAAAAAATTATAAAAACTTGCTGGCGGGAAGATAAGAAAACTCTGTGGAAAATCTGAAAGCCTGAGGGTAAGGCCACTATGGGGTCATCTAGGAAGGTTATCGCAGTACTTGGCCCAGGCCGAGCGGAGGTCGTTGATCGGCCTCTGCCGGTGGTGAGAGACAGGTTTATGTTGGTAAAACCTGTTGCGATAGCGCTGAACCCGACCGACTGGAAACATATTGACGCTGGTGTGGTGGGAGCCGTCGTGGGCTGTGATTATTCCGGTATTGTGGAAGCCATAGGCAAGGGAGTCAGGAAGAAGTTCAAGAAGGGTGATAGGGTCTACGGCGTTGTCCATGGCTGCAACAGACAAGAACCAGACGACGGAGCGTTTGGCAACTACATCCTTGTCAAGGCAGACGTTCAGTCGCATATTCCAGACAACCTATCCTTCGAGGAGGCCGCCACACTCGGGGTAGGCATCATCACCGTGTGTCAAGGGTTATATCTTGGTCTTGGGTTGGATCTACCCACCTCCCCCAGCTTCAAGAGGACACCGGTCCTGATATACGGCGGAAGCACAGCGACTGGCTCGCTGGGCATCCAATTTGCAAAACTGTACGTTCCTTTGGAGGGGGAGTAGCGTTTGAAGATACCCATGGAGCTTGACGTCCAACCAAAAACCCGAAAAAGCCAATTGCAATTTTGACCTGGAAAAGGAATTATTTTCCAAGGCCATAATCGCACAAATCAACCGCTTTGCTGACGATAGAGAGCTCAACTCATAGGTCCGGCTTTGCCCCAATCGCAGTCTGCTCTCCGCGGAATTTCGAGTTTGTAAGAAGCCTAGGCGCCGTGGCAGCATTCGACTACCATGACTTGGATTGTGGCCTCAAAATCCGTGAGTTTACCGAGAATAGATTAAAACTCGCCTGGGACACGATATCGCTCCCTGCCAGCGCCCGCATATGCGCTCACGCCCTGTCCACCGGTTCCGGCGGTCGATACTTTGCTCTGCTGCCGGAGCCCTGTCCTCGAGACGACGTCGAATCAAGCTACACTATGGCCTACTATATGTTTGGTGAGAAAGTCCAAATGTCTGAGGATGGGCCGGTGATACCCCCGGACCACTCCGGGTTTCGATACGCGAAAGAATTTGTCTCCATGGCAAACCAACTGCTTGCGAACGGCAAGATCAAGGTCCATCCCCAAGAGGTGTGCGGGCGTGGCCTTGCGGGAGCCCTCGAAGGCCTCGAGAGCATGAGAGACGGCAAGATAACCCGGAGCAAGCTGGTATATCGGGTGGCGGAGACTCCTGGCCTAGAACCCCCGGAAGCAGCGTGAAGGAGGGGTGAAAAACATTCCCTCTGCATGTCTGTTCCTTTTTTTAGAATTCTATATGACGAAACGGCTCGTGTTGTCTCTGCCAAGTTGGCCCCCTTGTATGTACTTTGAAAGCATGTCATTCCTTGACTCGCATCAAGGAAAATGTACTTTTATGTCCTGGACGAATGAGATTGGAGAAGTCGCAGCGGTTGGCTTTGCGAGGTTTGCGGATGCTGATTGGCTGCTCACTCATTCTACTTAGTCATGACGTCAATTTATGCTTAGTTCACGTGATACATAACTCAATTTAAGCTCAGATTTATGCATAAATAAAGTGATCACGTGTCACACAATTTACATAAATAATATGCTTAGTCATCTCTTATCGCTCTCAATCACAAATTTACAGAAAGTTCACCAAAAAGACCAAAGAGAAAGCCGGAAGTTGGATAAAACATTGAACATTGGACAATTCAACAGAAGCCGCACAGGATGGTCCGAAAGCTCAAGCATCACGAGCAGAAGTAAGCAATTTTCTGTCATTTTTTCTTCTCTAACGGCTCCCGCTAAATAATTCTCTCTCCAGGCTCCTTAAAAAGGTCGATCTCTACACCTACAAATCCGACAACAACCACCGCGAGGCCACTATCCGACGCCGCTATCACCTCCAAGACCCCCTAGACTATAAAAAGTACAACGCTATATGCGGTTCCCTACGGCAATTAGCTCATAAGCTCTCCGCGTTAGACCCGGACTCCGACCCAGTGCGCAAACAGCTCGAGTCACAGATGCTAGAGAAGCTATGGTCGATGGGGATATTGAAACAAAACCGCGAGCAAGGGGCAGGGCTAAGTAAAGTCGAAAGAGAAGTTACCGTTAGCACATTTGCGAGGAGGAGACTGGGTGTGGTTATGGCAAGGAATGGGATGGTGGAGAGTGTTCCGTCGGTATGTTCATGCGTTACACACTCTACCTATGACGGGCTTGCTAATGGGACATGATAGGCTGTTAAGTTTATTGAGCAGGGACATGTGCGTGTTGGGACAGAGGTGGTTACCGACCCTGCTTTTCTGGTGACGAGGAATATGGAGGATTTCGTTACCTGGGTTGACTCGAGTAAGATTAAGAGGAATATCCTGCGGTACCAGGAGAAGCTGGATGATTTCGATTTGCTATGATTGTGGGATTTGTCTCGTTATATAAATATACCCTTGCACTGTTTTTGTCGCGCCGGAATATAAAAGTCTGTGTTTATAGTTGAGCGTTGAATTCAGACATGCACCGTTTGGTGGTCTCCCGCTTGAAACAAAGAGCAAAGCGCCTGGCGATTGAACCTCCTGATCGATCAGGCGGAAAGATATATATCCCGTTTTTGTAAACTGCATGGAGTTTGCAGGTCTTGCTAGGTATATATTGCACCCTCTGGCCAGTATTCTGCAAATGGCCTTCGCAAAGACGAGTCTAATCACTGCCCCGGGCGTCCGTCAAAGTTCTTTTCGCTATCTATAAAATATGAACGCATGGGAAATTATATAGCCCTCTGTCTATGGAGCCTGTGGAGGAGATTCACTGTACGAAGAAGCGGGATACTTAAATTCGACGATATCATCCGAGCACAAGACAATCTCGAAAAGGAGGATATAAAGATTATTGATAAGGCCAGACGCAAATATAATATATGATGGTAAGATATATAATCAAGTTATATAATATCGATAATAGTCCCACAAGCTTGCTAACTTAAAGAAGCCCACTTTGCAAGACCTTCTTTGACAGCGACTGCTATATCAGCGGTCATTTCAACTAGTGTACCTCTCACGAGTACATCGCATATTTTAGTAATGAGGAGTCATCTCTTTATAAAGGATGTGGTGATAGGTATCGGGTACGGATACTCTCTGGGCCTTATATTATATGTTTTGATTGATTCATTGGTTGATCTATTCACTGGTGGCGGCACGAATTCTATACCACAACCAATCAAGCATTATGCTCCATTCAAAAGAGTGACATCACATCATACGACGTGCCACGCGCACGACATTGGTAGCACACCTTGGTTTGACCAATTGCCTTCATTCTGGAAGTTTTTCCTTTTTCTTACAATATTTGACGACAGTTAGTCGTCGAATCAGTTGGTTACAACAAGTCAGATGTCATTAGAGAGCCGCAATAGCTCGAGACTACAGTGACGTCTATAGACGGCAAGCTCGATAGCCAGTCGTGATCCTCGCCACCCCATACCCATGTTTACAATGCAGCTGTGTCTATTTCGAGACGGGTGAGGTTTTTAAGAATTCGCCAAGTTTCCTTGCATTCGTCGTACAACTTGTCATACGGCGCGGGCAGTGGCGTGTCTAGCGCTATTCTAGACATAAACGACCGCCGCTCCCCTTATTTCTTAGGTGCATTCTTAGATAGCAGCGTTTTGAGCTTCAGGTCTGTAGTATTCGAAAAGGCCGAGATCCATCTGCGTGGGAATGGTATGTTTACGATAGCGGCAACCTTCCGCTGCTGCGTTACAACACCAAGACGGCCGACGCGATGGCCAAGTACTTCGACAGATTGGTAGGCGAAGCACTTCTTTAAGAGATAGAGTGATACCCACTGACTAAAGGGCGTCAAGTACTGCGTCTAGGTTAGCGATATGTGTGTCAAGCGACATCGAGTAGATTATAATGCCGTCGATATACACAAGGACAAATGACCACAAACATATATTGAGCCTAACTAATATTGTATATAATATCAAATCGACCTGCTTATCGACCCCCTAGGCACCAACATACTCATCAGCCTGCCATTCGCCCAGCAATAAATTAGGGTTTTTGATAAGTTGGAGTGTTGTACGCTGTACTCTGTACTCCGTACTACATTTGCTATTTAAATGAGGATCGGTAGTACCACAGGGGGGAAGCGACCATCAGGTTAACGTCCGAGGCGCCAGTTTATTAATCGCTTCTAAATTGCTCCGTACCCAATGTTGTTATAAGCTCTTTGTATCTCACACTATCGAATCCACCTCTATCCATCATGGGCGGCGGTGAAAGTTTCCCTGGGTTCCCCCACCCCAATCCCACAGTATCCTACTGGCAAATGCCTCCGCATCATATCGCAAACCACCGAACAACATCAGCCCTGCCAACGTCCCATAAATTTGACTATATTATCGTGGGCTCAGGTATCTCCGGCGCGGCCATAGCATACAAACTCCTAACACGCAATGCTGGCCTCTCGATTCTTATGCTCGAGGCCCGCACATCGGCCTCGGGCGCTTCGGGCCGTAACGGAGGCCACTGTCGGGCTGGGTTTTGGCTTAACTACAGCCGTTATGCCCAGGCCCTAGGCGAAGACGAGGCGCTCAAGTTCGAGAGGCTCGAGGAGGCCAATGTCCAGGACATTGCGGATTTTGTGCGCGACCACCATGTCGATTGCGACTTTGCCAATGTTGAGACAGCGGATGTCTATGTCACTCAGGAGGAGTGGGCAGCTGTATTGGATGTTCTTGAGGCTCGAGATGAGGTTAAACGTCGGAAGCCCGACCTTGCGCCCTCGATTCGTCGGAGAGTCTTGCATGGACAAGAGGCCAGGAAACATATGGGAATGCCTGCCATTGTTGGAGCCATTTCTTGGCCCGCCCATACCCAGAACCCGTATCGTCTGGTATGCCGGATGCTGGAGCTTAGCTTGGAGAAGGGTCTCAATCTGCAAACCACAACGACAGCACTTGACATTACTGCGCACGCACAAGGGGACGGTTGGCTCGTCAACACGGACAGGGGCACCGTCCATGCAAACCAAGTCGTCCTTGCCACCAATGGCTACACGAATCCCCTACACCGTGGCCTAGCTGCTACGGGCTTCCTGACACCCGCAAGGAGCCAGGCTACTGCCTTGAGGCCTGGAAAGAATATGCTAGATGACCCGGAAGCACTATTGCGCGGTAGTGCAGGGCTTAATGACGCCGGCAGCGGTGACTACCTCATGTACCATGCTCAAGACCACCTTCTCATCTACGGTGGCGGCAGAAGTCACTCCAAGACTGGCGATCGTGACACCACGAACGATGCTATAGTAAATCCGGACATTGCCAACTATCTCCACCGTGCGCCTTCCCAGTTCTTTAGTCCCGAGGCGTGGGGTGACGACAGTCGTGCTGTCAGGGACTGGTCGGGTATCACCTGTTACACACCCGACACGTTCCCTCTTGTCGGTGAATCCCCGGGCCAGAAGGGATTGTGGATGTCTGTGGGTATGAATGGACATGGCAGTACGTTTCTTACCATTTGCCTTATTTAAGTCGTGAAATAACTGACCTGGAATTACAGTGGCTATGGCCTTTCGTTGTGCTGAGGCGTTAGTAGAGATGATGACGACTGGGAAAGAACCGGAATGGTTTCCAAAGTCATTTAGGCTGCAGCGCGCATGGGGAACCGTTGAATTCACCAATTAGAGGCTAAATTGTACCATTTATATGTGAGATAATTAAGCTATGAACAAGAAGGCATCTCAGAAGCTCAGGTAGCTGTCGAAATTCATTCTCAAAACAGTGTACAACTACGCAATTCTCTAGGTGCGCTGAGCCACCTCAAATGCCTGTTCAAAGTCAGCGATAAGATCTTGTATGTCCTCTATCCCCAAAGATAGGCGAAATAGGATCTCGAAAACTCCCATGGCCGCATTCTCTCCCGGCGTACACTGCTTGTGCCACTACCACTGACCCATTTAGTTGCAGAGTGGATGATAATGTCGGCACCCCAGGAGGCTGGCTGGCAGAAATACCCTCCCGCCGTGAAGGTGGCATCGACAACGAGAGGCAGTTGTGCCTTATGTGTTATCTAGCTTGACTGCACCTATTTCCTTTCTTCACCAGTATGCCAATTGCTGCATAGATAATATTTACAGAGACAAGTATGGGCATTGGGATCTAGGTGTTGCCAGTTTATAGTAAATCTGTGCGGGAAATCATCGAGTGTATGCGTGGTGTACTTATATATGTAATAACTAATGTGTGTAGGAGGTATAATCCATGTGTGAATATCACATTAACACACAAAGAAAATCAACCAGGCCATTCTCCGCTAGTTAGATTCCACTACCCATGGCGTCGTATTCATTCTCCTAATTCTATAACTTGCTAATCACAATCGACCTAGTTTCCAAGCTCGTTCAGGCTGGAGAGTGCTGGCGCAAGTTTATTTACAAACGAGACGTGGGTAGGCTATTTTTTAAGTAAGCATAGATAGGCACAAAAGTATATGCGGGAATCCTTACATCGTACGTCGTTGACTGGATGGGTGCGGCGTATATCTACCCGCGAGGAATCAGCTTACATAGAGGGAACGCTCAAAAGTGTAGCCGCCAATGCCATAATGCTCAGGGTGACAATGGTCCGAAGTATGACCTCGAAAAATCCACGTCAGAGTGGCTGGTATCCAAAACAACATATTACTTTAATCGTGAGTCGATGACGGACTCTGGGTAAGATATGCCCCATTCCCTGTACTCTACTTGAGACCAACAGTTGTCCCAAAGAGACTCTTTCCTTAATCATATGCAAGCGAAGCATAGCGGCGGCGATCAACATATTAATCATCCACTTGATACCTCGATGAATTAGTAACTGGTATTAAACGGAAGGTTGATCTGCGGACCAACTAGGCATCAAACGGGTTATATACGTTGGTTTGTTGGAATGCCATGCCGACGAAGTTCTTTGTTTTGCTCTTTGTCCCTGATGTATAATATCAACATCTGTGATGGAATTTAACTATCTATGCAATGCATATAGAACAAATGAAAAGGGGTATCCCTGACCCCTAATTGCTAGTAATAAAGAACTTGGGAAAAAATGCTTTTGACTGTGAAACATCTGGTATCATATGCTTGTGTGATATGGTAGGGGGATAATGCAGGATAATAGGAACTGGGGATGGTGGATTAAAGCAAGTATGTAGAGCGCAAAAATATCAAGTGTAGGGACAGTGCTGAAGGGGAGCGTGAATATCCTGGGGGCTTTCTTATGCATGGGCAGTGTCTTGTTGCTCGCTGTGCTGTAAAATCAATTAAATCAATAGCTATGCTGGGTAATGTCAATGTGGTATCATTAGAATCAGAATGCATGGGGAAGGGGGTTAATGAGTGGCCGTAATGCGTAATGCATGAAAAGGGACATAAACTTAGACGAAAGACGAGTTACGTCTGCTGACGAAAGGCCGCCACGATTTGATGGGAATGGGAGCAGAATTCTCCTTCTCATTGACAGGCTGAACAGCCTCATTCTCTGACTTGAGTCTAGTAAGCGCTGAGACGAGTCCGTTTCTCAAAACGCCTAGCCCCGGACGCGATGGTTGATCGGCTACTGTATCAGCATCTTCTTCCTCTGGGATATCCATGCGGAATCTCCTCACGCTGCCGTCATCCTTTGCATGGCCGGCCTTGCACTCTTCGAAAAAGGGCGCTCGGGCATCTTTACTCTGACACCACTGGGGAGCAAACTTTCTCCAGGCGCCACGTATCCCGCGACTGGCACGGTCAATCTTCTCATATTCCCTCCGCCTGGTTGAGGGGGAAGTCCAGTCTATTACTGTCTTGGGGAGAGGCGGTGGTGAAGAGGAGATGTTGATAGTTTCGTCATTCAGGGGGTTCCATGTGGACTGGTTGATGGGCGGAGACGGGATGCCATCCGACTGGAATGGAGAAGTAGGCGTGTTTTCTGGCCTGAGCAGTGGAGATGCAGAAGCTGAGTGTTGAGTATGTTGGAAAGAAGGGCGCCTGGCTGGTGCGGTAGAGGCGTGTGAGTTGGCGTGGCGGGCTGATAAGGGGTTGCGGTCTGTAGGAGACGACGATAGCTCTTTGTATGGCCCTGTCTGACTGAACAGAAGGCAGCTTTCCCGATGCAGAGTAATGAGATCGCGCTCGTTACGCTGCGAGCTGCTACTTGTATCTGACCGAGAGGATGTATATTTGACATATGTCCCAGTCCCAGTCCCAGATCTCCCGCGTAGATGCTGCATGCTACGCCTCGGCCTGGTTGACGAAGTTGACCTGGAAGACGAAGAGGCCTGTCCCCTTGACGTCCGCCGCCGCTCTATGGAGAAGGAGGACGCTCTGGATCCCGCATCACTTGGTTTATATGTAGATGTAGCGGTACAAGTAGACGTAGTGGCAGATGGCTTGATCAAGCTCTGCACCTCCGGGATGTCCTCGTCGTCAGCGCTAGACATGGAGAAGGTCGATACTGGGCTTCCGGTGGCCGTGTACGTCCTACCGGGCAGCGCCAGGTCTGTCACCGTCTGCGTATCGAGTTCTGTTACTTGGAATGGTGGGAAATAGGATGCTTCATCTCCAGCAGAGGCACCAAAGGGGCGCTGGTCTTCGAAGAGGAAGGACGTTATATAGTCTTCTTTGCTGCTGGTATTCTGCTTCTTCTGGGTCTTGGGTATGTAGATAAAGGGAGAAGAGATAGCATCATCTTCACTGATCCCGCCATCACTTGCTTGAGTCTGGCATGTGAGGCCGGCCATGATGGCTGGTGCTGGTTGGTGATGCTTAGTCGGAGGTTGTAGACGTCTTTCTTTGTACCAGAGTCAGCAGACTTCCACCAGCTTCAACCTCAAACGTCAACCTCAACTTTAGCTGTAAATGAACTGACTTACGCTCTTTGGCCAGAGAAGACAGAAGATCCCTCTTTAACGGTCTATCTATAAGGGCCAGATGACATGTGAAGGAGAAGAAAGAAGAAGAAGGCAGCTTGGTGATTGGGTGCGCATGTGGAGGTAATCAGGAGACAAGCTGTTGATCACTCGAAGCTCAACCTTGAAGCCTTGCTGACTGCCTTATAGATGGAGACGATAAGTTATAATTTGAGGATGCTGGTAATGAAGAAGAAAATGAAGAAGCTGGGTAGAGGTGCCACCGCCAGCAGTGAAGAGTGCGAGCAATATATATATATCAGGCGCGTGAATATATATAGAACGAGGACTGCAGCAGCAAGCGCCGAGGAGCATCAAAAACAACGACGGAAGAGCCGATAGCCAGGCGCCTACTGAGACTGAGAAGCTCACCAGTCATGTCTCTATGCCTTCATGTCTCTGGGTCGACTCCTGTCACAGCTGGCGCGCAAGACATCTTCCATCAGGGACGGACAGACAAGCAGACAGGGAACCCTCAGCCGTTATAACCAGTCAGTCAAACTACTGATGCAAAAGAATGCAGAAAAAATGACAACCCCCATCCTCGGAGCGGGGCAAAAGTGACCAAAGGTCCTCTTCTTCGATCGATCTTCTTCTGTTTCTGCTCCTCCAACACCCCCCCTGATTGGGCGCCATCGCCTCCCCCTTCTCACCGTAAGTGTGTGGGAGTGTGTTTTTGACGGACGGGAGTATGTCGCCCGCGCAGGGGCACACGGGAAGGGCGAACCAGAAGCAAAAGGGAAAAAGACTAAAGGGGAGAGAACAGGCGGTTACAAGGGAAAAAGGAACGAAAACCCGCCTGACCCTTGCCCATGCGTCATGCATCATTCATGCACCTCCGGAGGGAGAAAATAGTCTGGCGAATCGTGGCTCAGCGTGGCGGCGGATCGAGCTCTGGCTTGCTGGCCGGTTATTGGGCCTTGCAGGTTGTTTATCAGGGTTAGCTTGAGTTAGTATCCCCGGCTCGCCTTGTCGGGCTCGGACTGGAGCAGACTCTGACTTGAGCTGCAATGCATACTGCATGGCTCTCTAGTTCGTTCGCACTTAAGTACGGTTGGGGTTGATCAGCCAGGGGGAAAGAGAAAGGCGAGAGCAAAGTTGCGGTCGACCCGGACGAACCGGTTCGAAATATCGACGTGTTCAGTTCCTGTTTATACCCGCCATGTTTATGTGCACTCCCGACTCCGTATAAATAATTAAGTATGGGGTGCGCTGGCGTTGTGTCAAACAATAGACCGGAAAAATGGGATTTTCGCGCATATAATGCTATTATGGCTGATAGGCGAAGCAATATGCAGGCGGACAAAGTTGTGTCAAGTCTCTTTGCCGGTCACACGTCCGAAGTCGCTGGCAAAAGTCGGACAGAAAAGCAGGTCACTTGCATGCTGGACCAGGAGCCACATAGTAGCGGTGACCTGCTGCATAGATAAGGAGTCGACTCCGAACGAGTAACTCGGCATATGCATACGAGATGACAACTTTGACAGGAAACTCAAGATATCAGGACATCCTGTGCGTCTCTCGTTGCCGTTGAATGTCAAGAAGAAGATTCATTGCATGTAAGTCATGAGATAGATACAGGTACGTCAAACATCTACACTGAATACGTAAACTCCGCGTTCTCTATGTCCGTCAGGTCAAGCCACCTAGTTTATCGCCATCAGTAAGTCAGTCGAACAGAAGAAAAAAAGGGAAAGAGAAGACTTACTCCTGATTCTCGACCTTGGTGTAGCCCGGCTCGGCTCTGAGTTTGGCCTTCTTTTCGTTCTGTCGGTTATACCACCACCAGATGAAGTACATGTCGACCAGACAGGCCGAGAAACATGCCAGGATAGTTGCTTTGGCGGGCGTATACTCTGGGGCATGCTCGGGGCGGAACGTTTGTGGCCCTGCAGTCGATACGTCAGCATGAGCAGCCCGACTGACTGACGGACATGAATCAACCTACCGATGATGTTTCCTACACAATATCCGATCAGGTACAACGCAGCAACGGTGGTTTTCTTGGTGTACCCTGCCACGTTCGAAGATATCAAGCCTAGGATGCACACGAATGGAGTCGGACAGGCCAGAGTCAGGTAGTAACCTATCAGACGGCCGACGGAGAGGCTCTCGGGCAAAGCTATCATGAGAGCTGTGCCGAGGATGGCGACAAGGAGGCCGCCCGATGAAACGAGGATACGCTGCTGGTAGTAGTCGCCGAGGAAACCGTTGAGAAGCAAGGCTACGACTTCGACAGCACCAGCGGGGGTGCCGTAGAGCAGACTCTGCTCGGGCGTATACCCGAATCCGACGATCTATGGACATTTAGCTGCTTATCCTATGGCAGAATTAGAATGACCAAGAGGTATGTACTTACCAACTGGCTGAAGAAGTTGCTGATACCGCCTGCCGAGGTCTATTAGCATCTATCAATCTCGACATTATCGATCACACGGATCAACGCTCACCGTTAGGGATATCCGCTGCGATGGCATAAAAGACAAACGCCCAGGTCATTGGGTCGGCTAATGCTTCTTTAAACTGGTACAGCTTAAAGTGTTTGTTGCCAATACCCTGCTGGTTAACTCTCACTCTCTCCACGGCCAGGATACGGTCTTCCTTCTTCAGCCAACGGGCATTAAGCTGATTATCCGGAATCAGCCAGTAGAACCCCAAGCCCAGCGTGACGGTCAAGAGACCGGTAAGAAGGAAGACT